GCATAGTATCAGAAATGTTTTCAGAAGTCCTAGTCCTGAAGGAATGTGAGCATATAGCTAAAACATCTATGTACTCTATTGATGTTTTCCACCAAACAATCTGAAATAGTCAAACCCTTCAAGCCCCCTCTTCCTCCCACCCCCCCAAAAAAGGAATTTCTTCCTTTTTTTTATATTATTTTATTTTTTAAAAGAAGAAACTGATGGGGAAAATTAGCTTCAAGTTTTACCTTAAAATGATCCTCCTCCCCCAAGTTTTAACTATGGGCCACTGTGGGCTTGAAAATACCTGCACACCACTGTTTTAACAAAATTCTGGGATATGTTACTATTAAAAAAGCTAGTTTGTAGTAACTGCTCTCCTGGAATATAACTTCCTTCACAGGGCCTTCTTCAGTCTCCTGTCAGCCAGATTTGTGACTCCAGGCTTGAAACAGTGAGCTTCCGTTTTCAAGATGAGAAAATACCAGAATGATAAGAAACTGTAAAGTTAAACCATTTCAGACCTGCTCTCACCAGTGCGAGAGATGCTTGTCTAAAATTGTATGACTTTATCTTTTATGTATCAGTTAAGCTGGCAAAAGCCATCACAAAAAGGAAACATTTTTTCTACCAGGCACTCTATCAAACAGCAGTGGTACCCTTGTTCTTAGGGAAAAAAAAAAAAAAAGAATCAAAGCAACAGGTCACCAAGCTTTATTCTTTTACTGACTAAATTTATCATGCTCGAATTTGTTCCTGTGAGAGTCACAATCTCCTTAGCCTATTTTTACATTTTGCTTCTCTTTTAGATCCACCTCCTCAATGCAGAGGTTGCTCCACATGCTGTTGTCACCAGTTCAATAACATCCTGTTTGTGATGACAGTTTCTGGTTCCTCATAGCTGGATGTTAAGCACATACATGACTGATTCAAATACAATATGAAACTATTTCTGTGCAAAAACTAGATAAGTTTATTGCATGACGAGATGGACAGAACACAGTCCTTAACAATTCTTACAAAATTCTAGTTTTCCTCTCCCCATCCTCAAAAGAAAACCAACTACACATGGACTTTGTTGCTCTCATTGGCTTCACTACTGATACCCAATTTTTAACCAGAAAATATGTAACAGATTTCTGAACTCTTAAGCATGGAAGCTCCAGATTTTTGTCGTTGTCTCCATGTGTTTCTTGTAGGTATTTTTCTGCTTTTTAGGATCTCTTCTACTGCTGGGTACACTCGGTGATTATTTTTAGACACCTGCAAAATTCCTCTATATAATTTCTTACCTTTAACACCCATACTTTTTGATTCAAACTTTTGTTTTCTTAAATAGAAGAGTTACTCAGTAAAGCATATACAAATTGGGGAAGTATTAAATCATTCTACAACTGTTTGCTTCCTTATCTTTTAATTTCACTTTCCTGCTTTGTGATTTGATTCTGTTGGGTTTTTAAAATGAGTTTTTCAGACACACACAAACTCAATCCTATGGCCTCACTTCCTTACAGTAAAATACAAGATTTAACAAATTCTTTTATATCAGAAATAGTGGAAAGCCTCAAGCCAGAAGATTAACAAATCAGGGCCCATCATGGATGCTGCCATGTTAAGTTAACTGGTCACAGTCTAGAAGAGTCCCACGGAAATACATAACAAGAAAGAAGGCAATCAGAGGCTAAATTCTCTGCCAGGGAAAGCCAGGCAATAGCAAGTCGGGGTCATCAGCCTCTTATCCTACAGCCTAGAAAGGGGTATACCAAGAAAAGAGTATTCACAGCAGCACCAAAGTTACAGTGAACACCCACCGACAAAACATTTTTTGTGACTCTTTTTGGTAAGAGTTTGCAAAACTACTGAAGGGAAGTCTACACAATGCTACAACCTCCAACCATAACCAATGCCTGTTTTCCTGCTGCAACAGAACAGCAATCCTAGAATGACACAACTGAACATTATGGAGAGGAAAATAGTGCTTAGAGAGTTAATACAATCTGACAACTCCTTAAGGTACCATTTAATTACTGCATTAAAAAGCAATCACCAATATCTATGTAAGCAAACCATCAACAGACAGCTGCTTACTTTTATTTGAAAAGTGTCCTTTCATAGGATAATGCTTGTCTTGCATACCTGATAACTAAAAATTCAGTTATACTGGATTACTAAAAAAATACTAGATATTGCAAATGGTTTACATGCCAGTCTTTTAACAACAGTGCCTTCATGTGTTTATTATAGGCATTTTCTTATGTTAAAGCTAAGATTCAACTATGTTTTGTAGTTGTAATTCTGTCCTCCTACACATCCACAAGCAAATTAGGTCAATTCCAAACTATTTGTAAAACCTCCTACACAGAAAGGAGTTTGAGATTTTAAAACGTATGAAGTTTAAAATAAACAAAGTCAACCCACCAGTGTCATAAACCTTGTGAACTGTCAATTTTTTGTTCTAGCCTAATAAGGCAACCCGAAGTATTAAAAGCCAAAATGTGAGAATGACTGTTCTTTGCCAGAGGTTGCATCCACATCATGTTTAATAACATTTTAATAATGTTTATTATATAAGTTTCCCTAACTATCTTCTAAACTTACTTCTACATTTGGCATCTGTAACGTCCTGTGGCAATGCGTTCCACTATGTAATTATGTGTTGCATGAAAAAAATGTTTATTTTAAACCTAGTGCTGGGTAAGAGCTAGGAGTCATCAAACCTGTATTATAAGAAATGATGAATAATCATACTCTCCCCATTTTCTCCATAACATTAGTAGCTTTATATGCCTCTTGTATTTCTTTGAACTCATTTCTTTTGCAAGCTGCAGAGTCCTAACAACCCTGTTCAAATACAGGTACCTCTTTCCCCATATATAACCTGGTTTATCCTTACTAAAAGAATGGACATCTGCAATTGTTCGTACTATTCCAGATTGGTCATGGATGTCATCAAGATCTTTGTAGAGAACTATAACGCAACTTCAAGACCCCTTTTTTGAGTAGTAACAATTTAGACTGCCATGCATGTTATTTAGCCACTTCCCTCCTGCAAGCATTATTGTACAATATTGTATAGTTAATGCACTTGCCATTTTATTAATTTGTTATCTTCTATTATCTTCTCACAATTATTCATGTTCACAGATTTGGGGGTCTTAGTATCATGAGTGGTGTATGCGTACAAGCTGTTATTTTGCTGTTTAGCCCCTTTCACAGACTTATTAAAGCAGAAAAGAACTCCACATAGATCCCTGCAGGAGTCTACTCTTGGCTTGTGATAACTGATCTTTCATTCTTATTGGTTTTTTCCCTATCTTAGAAGGTTATTAACCTGAGAGGCCTTTTCTCTTAGTTTTGTAACCATCTGGTTTCTCCAGGAAACTTTGGCAGCAGCTGTCACAGAGTAGGATGGTTAGTTCATACAGGATGTATAGTTCTAACATGACCATGAACTCGCATCCAACCAATTTGCAAGCTACAATCTGTCTACAACAATCATGTTGGCTCTTCTTTACTATTTTATATTCTCCATGTACATGTTCATTTTTCGTGTTTATAAACATACAACTTCTCATTTGACTCTATGACAATTTTGTTTAATTTTGATAAGGACAGAAATAAAACTTCCTGGGCTGTAGCCTTGTCATGGTTTAACCCCAGCCGGATTAACTCTATCCCAGCCAAAACCAGGACAACCTTCATGTAGATTATGCTGCATTTCCAAACTCAGTGATTATGTATTCCAATTACTCCAGACCTGTTAGGTGTACCCTGATTAGTCCAGGCAATTTGTTATTATTCATTTTAATCAGCTTGTTCTAATAGTTCTTCCCCTAACACTTGAATTTGAAAGAGACCATCTGAGACATCTTAAGTAAGCTCCAGTGCAGGAAGCTTCATATACCCTCTATAATTAACACCAATGCAAAAAAAGTCTTTGTAAGATTTGCTGCTAAAGATTTATCTTCTGCTAGTGTTCTCACATCTTGATCCTTTCCTGGGCCTGGAGACTATTAGTTCTCTTGCTTCTGATGTGCCTGAAGAATTTCTCAAAGCTCTTTCTGTGCCTGTCTTCTGGTTTTCACACACAACTTACCAGTTTTGCATCCAAATGTTTCCCACATTTGGTTACAATTCCTACTTTATAAAGTGTCTCTTTACCTATTACAGATTTCCCTCCTTTGCAGTTTAACAACACTGAGTTTGGGGGTTTTTCCCCCCTTGTGATAGATGGCAGATATTGACTCTAACATTTAATATGGTAGCTCTTGATACCACTAAAAGCTTTATCCTTTTAGCTGTTCCTTTCAACAATTTCCTAACAAGTTTGCTCCCTTAGGCATAGTTCTCTCCATAAGATGTTACTGCAATATATTTTACACTTGCTCTTAAAACAACATGGAAATTTTGGTTACTCTTGTAGGGTAGCTTAACAGTAACTTCATCTTAAACTAGGTCTTGTGCGCTGCACATTTGTCAAGAGCTACTCCTCTTGTGAGCTGACAGCTTATCAGGAAACCCAATATATTGTTACTCACTTCTAAATTTACTGAGTCTTCATACACGTAACAGAACCATGTAATAACACAAAATGCTTCTTCCCTCAGCATCTTACTTCCTTTAGCACTTCACAGTAATTTTCCATCTTGTTTACATGGTCAACAGTCCAACCCTCACTGTATTTTGATCTATTTGCACACAAATTCAAACTGTAAGTGTACTTTGTTGTCTAGACATACATAGCTTTGACTATAAACCCTAACATATAATAATGCATCTCCCAGAGTACAGTTTGCATTCTCATTTCTATATAAATGTCTGCCCTTATACTAACACCCTCTTGTACCAATTTTCTGAGACGCCAAATATGTCAATATCTGGATTTCAAACTAGCATTCCAGCTCTCACACTCAATTTTTCACATTTCAGATTTTGTCCAGAAGCCCATCTACAACTGCTACTGGTCTAATTGTCTTTTTCTTACACTTTATAAAGAGAAGCAAGCAGTAAATACATACATGACGGTGTTAATCCCTGACAGTTGTTGAAACATCTGCAGACCACAACCCACAATTAAGGCTCTTCGAGTTGGAGGATATGTTAGCATTCTGCAGATCACAGGTCCAGCTTAAAAAAAAAACAAACACAACAACAAAAGAATACGTAATAGTTCTTAAGTGATCGCTATCAAGACAACGTTCCCAGGCATTGTACCTTAGTTTCAAACAAACTTGGATTATTTTATTTTTGAACAACATTATCATTTCAGTTCTGCTTTTCTGCACTGTAGTACAAAGATGATTTTCAGGAAGCCCAGGCAAAAAAGGAAACAATTTATGTACACAGCGTATACTACTGGTGGCAAATGTACAGGTCTCCCATATCATACTAAAAGACTGCACATCTGCTGCAAATGAATGTACTCAAAGTTATCACAAAATATCACTGTTGTTTCCTTTCTAAAAGCTCCCACTGTTATTGAGAGGTTATTTCAGAAATGCCATTACTCAGTGCTCAGATCTGGATCATGCAAAGTGTTCTCCCCAGTCCCCAAAGACCCAATTTCCACAAACCAGTTGCAAGTGTGGGTACTTTGGAGGTATGGGATAGATCTATTTTGCACAGCTAAGGCCAGCAGAGGGAGCATAAATTAAATTTTTTCCATACCTTTGGTAGCAATGGTATGAGGCTGCATTCAAAAAGTAGAAAACAGTTTGTCAATGAAGACAAAACTAAAAATTTCTGGCAAACAGAGAAAGTTTTCTTCTCTATTAACTTTAAATTTTCAAAGTATCCTATAAAAAAAAAAGTAATACAGAAAGCTATATGATGTCAGGCAAAAATTTAAAATACTTGACTCCATTATTCACTTGAATTTCTTTCTGCCCAGAGTGGTGTTTAGGGCAGAACATAGTCTGGTGAAAAATTCTATGTTTTATACCTCTTACCACATCTGGAATACCCACTCAGAACACCTAATATAGACCACAATATGTGTAAGTCCAAATAGTTGCCATTTAAAAAAAAAAAAGAAAAAAAGACAGACGTGAAGAAGAGCTATGTTTTTACATTTTCAAAGTCTTTCCTGAAAATACAGAAAACATTAAATGTATTGATTCAGTACAAAAACCTATACGGGTCTGTTAGTTAAGAATACTTTACATGCAAAGAGTTTCAACTTCAGAAGGCTGGCAATCTGTGAACAGTTTCAAGAGTGGAACTCAAGAAGGGAGTTTAGATAACATTTTCTTCATTGGAAGATAATCAGACCTCCCTAAGAAAAACTTATTTTCATTTAAACATTATGGTGTTTCTAATTCACTTCTCAATTGTATCATCACTTAACTTTGCTTCTTTGTTATTAACAGCAGAATGCAATCTGACAAATTTTTCAGCTGGTTTTCAAGTAACATTAACATTCAGACAGTACACAGTCCCACCTGCCCTGCCATATAGCCACATCTCTACCTTCAAAATGACTCGAGTAAAATCAACTGATGGATAAATAGACCAATTTATATATCTGGTAAGATATTCTCAAGTAAGACACATGACATCACTGGGTATATCAAAGGGTTCAGTAGTCAAAGTGGCATTTCCTCGGTGGAAAAACAACAAAACCAGCACTCACTGCTAGCTAGGAGCAATTTGGAGCTCAGACATACTCTTGGATTTCTCCTTGACTCCAAGCTCCACAAAGAAAAAAGATTCACTAACAAATGTAACTACGAACCTTAATTCACCAACAGGTTTTCATATTCAGCATCACACCTGAGCATGGAGGCTTTGGGCTTAAAAATGTTAATCTGGCAACTGTCATGCAGCATCCGTCATGAACCCAGGCTGCTGAATGCCTATGAGAGATCTTCCGTTCTTCATAAACCTCCTATAAAGTCCTTAATGGAGTTCAAAATCCATCTTATATCTTCAAAGGACCCTACAGTCCACCACCTTGAAGTCCACCATCAATGACTATGCTCATCAAATAAGCTGGAACTCTACAGGAGGGGCTGTTAGGAAATGAAGCAGAAATGTCCTAAGGAACCGATGCAAGGTTTTTAACAATTCCTCATCCACTCGCCTATTTGATGAAAGTTATATAACACTCTATTCACAATACGCCATTGTACAAAACAATTGGAAAGAAGGCATTAAAATGAATAGCTAGAAACTAAAGCAGCTGTCCTCAGACAACGGCTTGCAACTCAGAGGGACTCAGAGACTCTCAACAAAATTTCATCACACAAATCAGTTTGTACGCCTGAAGTGGGGCCCTGCAGAAATTTTAAGACCATGTAGCAAAGCTTAGGCCTTTACATTAGAACTTTAGACTTTAGAATTTTGGTGCATCCAGTCAGCTAAATGCAGTAAGTACTTGGAATTTTTCAGACTTCTGATTAATTGTATCAGAAAAATGATGCTAAAAATCATCATACTGGTTCACATCAGATTTAAAAGTTTCGCTCCAAATCTGTACCATGGCAGTTGCACATATCAATAGGCATACACAAAATTAAAGGATTTTCTTTCATAAAATTCACAGCCTTCAGGTTTACAAACCAATAAAAGGAATGAAAGAAATAAAAGAAATCGTTAATCTCAATATTAAAGGAGCTGTTCAAACTCCACTAAAAAACTCAAAGGACTTTGACTGCAAGGTGTCTGTTTTTAAAACAGAAAATGTGTGAGACTTTTTATTAGAATTATCTAGCCCTAAAACTGACTATACTATTTTTGCATTTTCCTATTATCAATTCTACCATCCATCTTCTGTTGAGTTCATATATTACAACCTTCTTAAAAATAAAAAACTCTAGGCAAAACATGGTTGTTAACAACAGAGAATGAGTCTAAACTAAAAAAATTAGTAACCAAAGTTTTCAGAATTAAATACATTTTTCTTCTGAAAATAAGTCTGAAAACTGAAATTGTAATTCAGGAGTTTCTGATAACCACTAAATCTGCTGTTAGTTATTACAATAGATTCAAATAGCACAAAAACAATACAATCGTTAAATCTTTAAAAAATGGAGCAATTTAATCACTCACAGAGCTAGAGGGAAACAGATGATGCAAAAGATACATCACAAAAAAAAAAAAAGAAACATTTGGCAATTTTTACAATGGAAAAAATAGGTATTTGTCTCCAAAAGTCAATAATTCTTGTTTGTGATACTTCTGCCTTAATTGCTGTTGCTTTCTCTTCAGCTAGGAAATTTAGAAACATTCCTGCTTTTGAACCACTTCATCTGAACTTGAGAAACCACCGATATGTTTGTTTTCCTTCTTCTAATCTATGAATAAAAATGAAGTCAAAAGGATGAGACCTCCTAATGTCATGATTAATTTAAAGAGACTAGATTTGGTTGGACTTTTTGTGCTGTGGTTTCACGTAATTACTTTATTAAAGTAAATTAAGTAAATTTCCTTAATGCATATGTTTACAAGGGTTCAAAATATGCTACAGTAAATGGCAGCTGAAGCTTGCTCTAGTGAGAGTGCAAAATGGCTGCAACAGATAAAGAGCAATGGAAAAATAAGGATGCTGCTGTTGTAGAAGGTGACATTACATGAAGTGGTGACACAGGAAGTGGACTGCTGTGGTCTAACTGGCTTTTTCTTAGCCTGGTCTAAACTGTCTACCTAACTAGACATTCATCTTATAAGCAAAAGACAAAAATAGGATTTGGAAGTTTGGCTTCACATCCAAAAAACCTTATTAGCTTACGCTGAACGAAACAGGAGGGGAGGAGCTGTTCTTGTCAAATCATTAGTTCTGGAAAGCGAGTGATGCTTTCCAAACGTTACAGTTTATGAATGGTTATCTGAAACTTTTAATGCCAGCTTCCTATATTTTAGCTGTTTTTCTTGTTACTAGGCATAACCCACAAGTAAGTTAGGTTTAGAAATTGAGAGTCACCTGGTAAGGGATTTTGCTTTTCCCCTGTAGGTGAAATGGATTGTATGGTGATCATAGGAGCTTGGGTGCGAGCCACTGCCAACTAAAAGAAACAGAAACTTTTCAGAAACAACAAATCAAACAAACCCTAGTTCTTAAAAGGTATTTAAATAATGAAAACTAAAAAGCAGAAGAATGGGTATCAAGGATATGTCAGCATCTCCTTCTGAAAATGTACTGCATACGCTTCCAGGGAAATAAAAATATTGTAGGTAGACATAAAAGCCAACCTAAAAATCCCTCAGCAAATGCAGGCAGACATCTGATGCCTGGAAACCTTGTGATCCCCCATCCCTCAAATTATTAGTACAATACCTGGTGAAATTTCACAGCCAGGAAACTACAGTTAGAGACTGGGCTCTGCCAAAGTAATTTGCAGGATCAAACATTCTTTTGCCAGCTAATCTAGGTAACAGCTTGTAGCAACAGCTTAAAACCATGTAGGGCTCCTGCCAGCATTTTGTGTTCTTGCTGTAGAGGATTGTTTCAAAAAGGCAGGCTTAGCTAAGCAACAAAACAGTCACTCATCAGTTTAGCATCAACTAAACTCAACCTTCATATTAGTTTATCAGACCTGCTCTTGTCCTAATGCCAGTCAATACCCTCTCTTCCATCTAGATAAATCTTCAAAGAACTGGTCTACAGTTAGAAATGGGACAAAAAAAAAGAAACTTCGTGCTAGTGATCTGGATAACAGAAGACAGACATGGGAACCATTTCTCTATTTTGTCTTTCCTTACAAAATGACAGCTTCCAACCCAGCTTTGTCTGCATCATCTGCAGAACATTCCTCCACCTAAGACTCCTCTAAAGCACACAGAGCTAGCTATTATTTTCTGCATATGAATGATATACTAAGACAAACACCGTTTCCCTCTCCTGGCCTATTACATGATTATTTTCTGAAAGTATCAACTTCATTCATTTTTCCTTTCTGTAGAATTTACCAAATCACAAGAAAACATACGTAGCTTTAAGATCAAAACTGCATGATTTATCCTGAGAAGATACAAAACAATTTTATTTAAGTACCAAGCTCTTCCCCAGTGTCTCACAATGTTTCCAGTAACATTAGAGGAACCACTCCCAGCATTAGAGGAAACTTCCTACCTCATATAGTTCTCTAAACCTTTGAGAAAGCTCAAAAGGTTGCTTGCTTGAGTCTTTT